AGCCCACAGGCACCCACATACACACTGTCCTGCCTAGCCCGGCAGTGCTGCCAGCAGAGGGGCAGGGACCCCAGCTTTCTTTCTGACCATCCCGGTGGGGGTTGTTCCTGTAAAACAAAGGGAAGGGGTCAGCTATGCTGCAGGAGTGAAGTAGCCACCAGCAAACCTGCTGCAGACATTCCCAGGACACAGATTTGCATGGGAACACGAATGGGAGGGAGCAGGTCCAAAGGGTAAAAGCACAGTGCTGAGCAGAGCTTTCCCATTGCAAATGTGTTCATCACTCCTGCAGACTGAGAAAACATCCCCCAAGAGCACGGTCACCCGAAGCTCGCCTGGCCTTGCAGCCATCCTTTTCTCCTCCTAATGCAAACAAAAACCTTTCTCTTATTGCTTCTTTTTTTCCCCAGTAGCTATAGGTCAGACTTGGCCACACTGAAGCTGGGAAAGCACTTTCATGTTGTCTTGTGATTTCCCTCTAGTCCTGCCTTTTCCAGGATGGAAAGCTGGCTGCAGGCAGGAGGGCTTACAGTGCACCTGATGAGTTTGCCTTCACAGCAAAGGGCAAACCCAGCCCAGGGCCTAGTGCTGTGTCCCAGGAGATGATGCAGGTGAAGGGTCACCACGTGGAGAGCCCCTCTTCCACGGATATGGCTCTGCTGGGGTGGGGGGGGTGGGAAAGACACACTGCCCACCCTGCAGGGTTCCCCTGCTCCCCTGGAAAAGCAGGGTCCCAGCAGAAAAGGTCAGGTCATGCCCAAGCAGGGACAAGGTGGGTCAGCGTATCTGGAAACATCTTGTACTGCTCTGTGGCTGGGGCTTACCATCCTGGGGCAGAGAATGAGACCTGCAGAGAGCTGTATCCTGAGCGGGCTTCCCCACTGTGCTGTGAAACACGGGAGCAGCCACTGCTGCTGCGTGGTGGGGTGGGTGGGCAGGAGCAGCAGGGAGCCCAGAAACAGGGCGCAGGGGGTCTCCCCTACCCCAGGAGCATCCCATTCCCTGCATGCCTGCTGCACACTCAGTCGCTGTATGGGCTGAGAAGCCCAGTTTGATGCTGAGGAGGAACTGCAGGAACTGAAAACAGTCCCTGATCTGGGGTTCCATGTGCTGCAAGGGGACAGGGGATGGATGTCGTGGTCAATGGGAATGCTGCAGGCATCTGGGGCTTGTCTGAGCCCCCAGGTGCAGGGGGAAGCTGGAGGACTCAGCACTGCCACTGGCTCTTCGGGCAGTCCCTGGCCAGGAGCCCAGGCACATGCAGGAATTTTCTTCTCCAGCCTTTCTGGTTTCGGTTTCCATTCTGAAGCTCCAGGATCAGCAGCCAAGCCAGCCTGCCCTGGAGGCCCTGCTCCCCCTGTCCCGGACCCACCTCCCCTGGCACGAGCCCACCAGTGCTTCCTTTTGGAACCAACCCTGGGACTTGGGGCGTTATCTGGGATTGGCCATCACCCCATCCTGGCAGGGAGAGATGCTTTCCAGGTGTTAGGAGGTGGTTGAGAAGGACGTGCCCATGCTGAAGCTGGGCTGGGAGTGGAGGGAGGATGAGAGGCTGCAGCTGCCCCAGCTGGGCTGAGGAAATGCTCCCAGGTGAGGTGCTTGGTGTGCAGCAGAGAAATACCCAGGCGGTGCCTGCCCCAGGAGACACCAACCACACGCTCTGCGGTGGCTGCTTGGGTCTGCGGTCCTTGGTCCCTCTCCCTGCCTGCCAGAGCCTGCAGCAAGTTGAGGCAGAGCCAGGATTCTGACCCAGGGCCAGTCTCTGGTTTCAAAGCTCATCGCCTTGGCCAGCTCCCCTCCCACAAGACAACAGTCAAAAAAGGATATTCCCCAGCCCTGCTGTTAGCGTAAGAATGACACATAACCACCGGAATGGTTATCTGAGGTGTTTTATTGAGGCGCCGGGAGCCAGGGGCACGCACCCAAATCTGGCTCCGGCTTCATCACATCGCGTTCGCAATTTATACACTAAAATTACATAACCAATACATATTCAATACAGATTATATCATTGACTAATACATATGCATCAGTCTATTACGACATCAGCCTCTTCTGCGCTTGCGCAGCCCCTTCTGGTGGTCATTCTGGTGAAGTAAGGAGTCCTCCTTGGATGAAGTAAGAAGTCTTCCTCAGCTTGTCCTTTTCACCTTTTCGTTCTTTGGACATGTCCCAACCATTATGTGGACGCCAGCATTCTCCTATCTTCCCTAGGTTCTGCTTGGGTAGACTTTCACGATATACTTCTCGAAATTCACCCATATACCCTTCACCATATATGGGTATGTTAGCTCTTGCTACCACGACTACCATTGTAACATTTGTTATAAGTAACCATGATACAAGACCGCAAACCAAGCTACAAAGTTCCATTTCCTAATATACAAAATCACACTATTGATTTATAAATTTCTCAAATATAATCATTTCTACTATTTTATATGATTATTTTATCTTAAAAACTTCGCCCTTTTCTAACACTGCTGTGACCACAAAGGTTTCCTGGTCCTCCCCACTTCCGAGATCCGCCACCAGGAAGAAACATCAGGTCTGCCCCTCCGCGCCTTCCACTCCTCCTGCAAAGGAAAGATTTTGGTGTCCTGGACTGCTCACTTCTCTCTTTAAGTCCTGTGGCCCCAGCAGTGCCAGCCCCATCAGCTCGCCTCACCCAGCTTGACCCCGCAATGACAAGCTCGTGCCTCGTTTTCCCAGTTGCAAGTGAGGGACAGCAATGTGCAAAAGCTTTCTGAGAAGTGCTCAAGCAGCCACTGTATGAAAGCAAACCAACATGAGTACTGCTTGATTATTCTCATGTTTGGGAAGACCTGGATGATTTTATATTCCTTCCCTGCTTCCCTTGAGATCCAGGCTATATCCCGGGGTCCCTCTTGTCTCCTCCTCTGTTCCAGAGCTGCTTTGCAGGGTTGCAAACCGGAGCTTTGTACCTCTCTTCTCCTGTTGAGCTGCTACTTCCTCAGCCTGCAGAGCATTTAGCCTCCTTTGAGAGCTGCCTCGGGGTATTTCAGGTGTGCTGTTAACTAGCGATTATCGCCCTTTTAAAAGCAAGCCATAGGCTGATAGAGTGCTTTTGTTGGTTTTGCAGTGCAAAAGATCTTTTGTGCTTTTTCAAACAAAATTTGGGTTTCCTTCCTGTGAGGTATATAGGAATGATTCGTGTCAGCAACTTAGGAGTCCTTGTCATCATTGTACTTTGGGTGGAATCGAAAATCATGTGTAGAATGTATACGAATGATCAGATTAAGATAGATGTTCCTGTCAATACAATGATGAAAGAGAAGAAGGAACAAAGGAATAATCCTTCCTAATTAAACGCTTTGTTACTTTAAGGGGTACTTTGTTTAACTACTTGAATACCTCAAACGCTTTGGTAATTACAGGGGTACTTTGTTTAACTGCTTGAATGCCTTGAAGGGGGTTAGGTAATCAAGAGATACCTTCTGTTACAGGATGAGGAGAAACTTGTGTATTGAATAAGTAACTATGTAAGAAATGGAATTTAGGGGGCTAAGATGGTGGTTAAGCTTGTGACAGACATCCCCCGTTAATGTATTGCCAAGGAATTCAATAACTTCTTAAGAAGTTTCTTCACCCGAAGATAAGCCCCCAGCAACAGGAGGAGAACAATGAAAAGGAACCACGTCGATATTGGGGTGAAGGAGACGACAGGATTGGTTGAAACCCAAGCCCGAGGAGTATAAGAGACTGTACCCCAGAAATCTCGGTGTGCGTCTTGGGTGGAGCGGAGACTCCCCAGCGCACCCAGCGCTGCTTGCTTATTGCCTCTCAATATTAATCAATGGTAATTAACAATTAATTAAATCAGATCATGGCCAAGACGGAATTTTTATAACATTTATAACATTTTATAACATTTATAACATATAACATTGTCCTGGGTTTAGCAGTAGCAGTCATTTTTCTCCTTCTTGGTAGCTGGTGCAGTGCTGTGGTTTGACTCTCAGCTGGGAACAGAGCTGATAAAAATGATGTTTTGGTTTGGCCAAGGACTTTGTGAGCCTCATGCTGTGCCAGGGAGGAGGGGAAGCCGGTAGGAAGCAGAGACAGGACACCTGACCCAAACTGACCAAAGAGGTATTCCATAGCACAGCACGTCATGGCCAGGAGGTAACTGGGAGCTACCTGGAAGGGTGAGGGGGACTGCAGGGTTGGAGGAGGTATCGGTGGGTGCTTTGTTGGGCTGGGGGGGGGGGGTGAGTTATCGGTCGGCTGGTGCTGAGGTGTTGTATTCTCTTCCCTTGTTGCTTCCTTTGTCATTACTATTATTGGTGGTAGCAGCAGTGATTTGTGTTGTACCTTAGTTACTAAACTGTTCTTATCTCAACCTGTGGGAGTTGCATTCTTTCTGATTCTCCTCTCCGTCCCTCCAGGAGTAGGGGGAGGGCAAGAAGAGGGGGAGTGAGTGGACAAGCTGTCTGGTTGGGGTTAAACCACGACAAACATTTATAACATTTTATAACATCCAAACCAGTTGAAGAACAGCAGATCATCGGCGCCTGTCTTTTTCACTAAAACACTGACAAGAGTGTACCCAGAGCTGGGCACAGCTCAGGCTGCATCCCCAGAAGAGCCTGTGCTGGGGACGTAGTTCTGGCTCTCCTTTGAGCAGAGATGCCGCTGTATTCCCACCCTTTGACTTCCAGACATCCCTTTGCCAAATTCACGGTGGCAAATCCAGTGGGTCCAGGTCCACCAGCCCCTGGCCTTGGCTGTTGATATGATGGGGGGGAGGAAGGGCTGGGGGAGAGCTCGGGGTCTGCAGGAGCATGGAGGCTGCAAGGGAACAGCCCTGGAGGTGCTGGGGCTGGTGCTGCTGTGGCGCTGGGAGCAGAGATGTGGTGCAGAAGGGAAGGTTTTCAGGGATAAGGTGGCTGAGGTCTTGCCTCTCTCAAAATGTTTGTAGTGGGGTCCTATTACCCCTTTTCCCCGGGCAGGAGGGGAACATCATCTTCCAGAGCTGACACAGAGAGAAAAACATCTTTATTTGTTGGCACCAGCAAGAGACATTTTGAAATGAGGCTGAACAACGTGGTTCCACAATAGGCATCCTGTAAGTAACAAGCATACCATTTCCTCTGCTAGGGAGACAGATCTTGCTCACAGCATCTACCCTACCATGGCAAAGTTCAGCCAGCTGACTTGAAAGTCAGCCTAGGTTTACATGACAGCATTCACACTTAATTTCAACTGACCACTTCCCACAGATAGCTCTAGGGATAAACCCCCCTTCCATTCTAGCAGGGGAGGCAGGAGGAAGAGACAATTTAGCCACACTACACAGCAGGCTATTCAAGATGGGTCTGCAAGGCCAGAAGGTCCCCAGGATCACAGCTGCCCATAAGGGTGGCTAAATTATCATGGGTAAATGGCACCTTTGTGAGACAAAAGGAACTTCAGGGGCCCCAAGATGGCTCCACAGGTCCTGGTATTCAGCAGCAGCATTTCTAGGTCTGTGCCAAGACTCTGCTGGATCGTGTTGCAGGACTTCTCCAAGGCAGAGACCTCTCCTCTCCCAGTGCTCACTGCAGCTCCAGGGTGTTCACATATTCCTTCACCCACCTGGCATCAGGGTTAGCACAGACCTCCCGGTCCTTCCTGGTGACGAACCTGTCAGGTGAAGCAGGGAAGTTTTATAGCCCTGGAGGGGCAATGGGACAAGAGGGTGTTGGATCACCCCCTTCCCTTACTCCGGGTATGGTTCCTCACATCACTGTGATCTAGGCACCATGGGATCTGAAGCAAAGAATCCCAAAGGCTGGCAGAACCTTTCCCCAGAGCCCAGAGCAGGAGCTGGTACGTACACAACTGCTGGCTGTGAGCACTTGCTGCTGGTGTAGAAGTAATCCTTCACATGGCTCTGGGGCAGCTTTCGTGAGGTGTAGCTGAAGCAGCACACAGTCGTGTCAGCCCCAACTGGAAGAGATCAGGAAAGCCAGCATGAGTCTCCCACTTAAACTGCACATCCACCAGCTGAGAGCATGGGCAGCAGTCCCCTTAAATCAGCTCTGGAGCCCTCTTCCTTTCCTGTTTCCTCAGAAAGTCAGCAAAGAATTGCTGTGAACACCAAAGCTTAATTCAAATAATTGCTAGGATTGTGTGTAAAATGCCTTGCACTCACTTCCCATGATAAAAATCCTTTCAGTCGCCCTGGGACCACTCATAAAGCCCAACAACAAAATCAGGGGAGATGAAACCTGAAAACTTCAACACTTAGCAGTAAAATTCATCCCTAAGAAAAAAGGATGTTAGAAAGGAGGACCAGTCCCAAGAGAGCAGGAGAAGCTATTCACACAGGTTTCCAGCCTTTGCAGCTAACTTTTTCCAGTTCTGCTTCAAAATTACTGCCAGCCATAGCAAAAACCCACCCCAAGGAGCAGAGGGAGATGCTGCAGGTACTCACTTGGAGCAGGAGAGGCCTGAGAAAAGAGAGCAGCAATGAGGATGATGGAGAGGTGCACTGCAGAGATGTTCATCATGGACACAGATGAGCTGCAAGGGCAGATACAGGACCAGAACAGATTTCCCCTGTATCTGATGTGAGGTGCTGGCTCAGTCCCTGCTTTTTATATAGTGACAGTGGCCAGCTCCATCAGTCAGATTTCAAGACAAGCACTTGGAATTTCCAAAGCATAAAAGATCTGATGTCATGGCACCATTGCCTCAAAAATGCAGAAAAAAAGGAAGCAGCAAGTCTAGGATATACAAAAATAGCCTTTGTGTGAGGTGAGCTAACCCTGAGCTAACTGGCACCCACATGAAGGCTGCCCTGACCATGACAGGATATGAAACCACATTTGAGCAGCAGGTTCACGCTAGATTTACCAACACGACAGCAGAACCCATCAAACTCATCTCAGCATCCTCCCTGAAGGACCAGGAGAACCTCAACTCAGCCTCCTTTTGGAGGACCCAGGTCTTGAGCACAAAGGTGCTCAGACCTTTGAAATGGTCCAGCTGTGCAGTCCCTGCTCCAGTGGTGGGTCTGCAACATGTATGAGGTGGATGCAGAGAGTCAGTGCAGGCAGCATGGGCAGCAGTCACGGTGCCTGTGCAGGTAGCAAGGGTGACTGTCACCCCAGAGACTGCTTGTAGATCTGGGTTGGAAGTCTTGGCACAATAAACAAAAAGTCCTGAATGCTGTGCTTCCAGTATGCAGCTCAGGACCTCCAAACCCCTTCTAAGACACTCAGCATCAGCCAGGGAGTGCTTGCCTGCGAAGCCTGACTCAGTGGTCTGACTCTACAAATACCATCTCCTCCCAGGGATGTGGGGCAAATGCAAGTGCCCATGTGGATTTGGCTCAAGGTGGATGTAGAAAGCAGGACAGAAGTCCCCCAGACTGTGGAAGGAAGAGGAACCAGGTCTTGTGCAAACAGGTATCCCCATCGCCCTGTGCACATCTAGTCATGGGAGCCCCATGCACTGCCCATGCCATGAGGTGATGTGCTCCCCAGGATGCCCCAGAGAGCATTTCCCCTTTTACCATCTCCCTCTCTTCTGCAATAGGCACCAAATTTGCCAGTTCACAGCTTGTGGTTTCTCATGAACTGCTGCTCACAAGACACCGTGAGTTCATCTTCCCGTAGCCCTAGCAATGAAGCAGGGACCGCAGGGCAGTGTCTGGGTGTACTGGGGCATCCTCCCCACAGTATCCCCTTCACTGCACTGTCTGCAGTGCTGCAGGAGGGTCCCCATGGGCTGTGCCAGGGACTGTGCTGGGATAGGCAGGAGCCCATGGCCATGGGAGCCATCTTCGTGGGGCTGGGGGTGTCCTGGGGACTCTGAGGACTCTTGTCTTCAAAAGTATGTGAAGGACTGGAGTGAGCCCCTGCAGCCCTGATCCAGCTCTGGGGCAACAGCACAAGAGGGACGTGGAGTTGTTGGAGTGAGTGCAGAGGAGGCCTGTGGGCTGAGGAGCTGGGGGCTGCAGTTCCTGACTTGACAAGGTGCCCGACATAACTGGTATGCTCCTTGCTCCCTCAAACACCCCCTCATCTGCCTGGTCCCTTCCAGCCACACCTAAGGCTCTGCTCTCTGGATGGCTCCCACCCAGCCTCTACCCTGTGCGTGCTCATCCTCATCCTCTCCAAGGAGCCCCCTTCCTTCAGCTCTGCAGCCCCTAACGTATGAAAGATGTGGAGATGCTGGAGCAAGGCCAGAAGAGGCTACAGAGATGCTGCGAGGGCTGGAGCAGCTCTGCTCTGGAGCCAGGCTGAGAGAGCTGGGCTGGGGCAGCCTGGAGAAGAGAAGGCTCCTGAAGGGGAGACCTTAGAGCAGCTCCAGTGCCTAAAGGGGCTGCAGGAAACCTGGAGAGGGGCTTGGGACAAGGGCCTGTAGGGACAGGCCAAGGGGAATGGCTTGAACCTGCCAGAGGGGAGACTGAGCTGAGCTCTTAGGCAGAAGCTCTTCCCTGGGAGGGTGCTGAGGCGCTGGCACAGGGTGCCCAGAGAAGCTGTGGCTGCCCCATCCCTGGCAGTGCTCAAGGCCAGGTTGGACACAGGGGCTTGGAGCAAGCTGCTCCAGTGGAAGGGGTCCCTATCCATGGCAGGGGTTGGAGCTGGATGAGCTGTAGTGTCCCCTCCAACCTAAACCAATCTGTAACACTAGGATTCTGTGCCTGTCACAGACATGCAGCGGTGGCGTTTTGGAGCAGCACAGGAGCATGCTAACAGGTACTCAGGCTCTGCAGAGAACAAAAATCTCAGCTGGAATTTGCCAAGAGACTGTTTGCTGGTACTGCTATAGTGGGTGAATTCCAGTATTGCAATTAGCCTATTGTTTGGCTGATCTGCATATTTATTTCTCATGCCCCAGATCCGTGTAGGGGTGTAAAGCAAGGTGATGTGTCTCAGACCCATCTCCTCACTACAATAACTACAGCATTTTGTACTGATCCTTGACCTGTCCCTGGGATTGGAGATTCCTTTTGAACAAGTGCCCACCGCCTGCCTCACCACATGGCCCCATGCATCCTGGGGTCCAACAGGCAGCTCCTGGGCTGCATCACTTCCCTGCTGCACTGGGTGGAGGCACTCACTCATGTCCCTTTCCTCTGCAGTCACAGGTGGAGACTGTCCTGCTGTGTGACACACAAGTCAACCTATTTTGGTGTGCCCAGACCTGCTGCTAGAGGAAGGAACTGTTACTGTATGTGACAAACTATCTGACAGGGCCAGATAGCGATCTAAGAAACCACAGAGAGACACTGAGGCTCCCTCAACCGCAAGGCTGCAGAGGTCACACCCCGTTACAGCTTGTAAAGGCAACTGAAACCATGACATCTGCATGTCTCCTGAAAGCACAGGGTGGCTGTGCCTCAGCCCAGCACAGCTCCTCTTCATCCACCACAAGTGCCCTAAGGGGTGGCATAATGGGAAGGTGTCCCTGCCCGTGGCTGGGGAGCTGGAAACAGATGGTCTTTAAGGTCTCCTCCAACCTCAGTCATTCTGTAGTTTTATGATAATCCCATGTGACCATTGCATGGCCCAGCCTTGCCCCTCACTCAGGGGGTTTGGCCCTGTGCAGGCTTTTGGAGCCGTATTCTGCAGCCCTGACCATCACAGCAGAGATGCCAGAGTGCTGGAAAGAAGGCACACCATTCATCATGTCTCCGTCCTTGCTCTGGGCCAGCTTTAGGGGAAGGTGACACTCCTCCCTGCTCTCCTCCTTGTCCTACTCTGCACTTCTCCAAAGCTACCCACTACCTCCCTTTGGCCTCTCCTGCTCCCTGCAGTGTAGGTCCTCAGAGAAAAGGTGGTGGCAAAGCCAGTGACCGCTATCCACCAGGCATTGCAGAGGAACCTGGGCAGAGATGGAGTCGGGGCACCTGAATGCCAAATGTCCCACTGCATCCCCAGGCCATGTCGTAGAAGGGCTGCAGGGGTCCATGGGGACCATGCTGAGATTTGGCCTCAGGTGGAGAGAGGAGCTGCCCTGGCCATTTCAGAGAGCTGCATGGTTCAAGGCAAGCCACAGGGAGGTTTCTCCGCTGTCCCTTTACTTCCCCTCCCACACACACCAGAGCATTCAAGGAGCACCGGGCCCTCTGCCGTCTCCTGTGGGAAATGTTCTGGAGCCCTTTCTCGCACCTGCACCGCAGTCACAGCCCGTCCGCCCTTCCAGGAGCCCTGCCGTGCTTCCTCCCGCCTTGCCCCCCGGTGTCACCCTCTGTGCCAGCGCTCATTGCCCCCGGTTCCAACCCCGCTGTGCTGGGTACTGCAGGGACAGGGGACAGTTGCCCTGTTACCTCGAGCCCTGGGCTGTCCCCTGGGGTCTGTGCCCTGCTGTGCTGCCCATGCTGGTAGCAACCACCTGGGGAGTGGGGGCCCATTTCAAGCCCTCTCCATTTTCCTGTTCAGCAGGAAACCTCTTTTCTAGGAGGTGAGTTGCTGTGGTTAAACCCAGCCAGAAACTAAATGCCACTTTCTCACCCCCTCTTGCCCCCTGGGAGGGATGGGGAGGAGAATCAGAAGAATGTAAAACCCACGGCTTGAGATAAGAACAGTTTAATAATTAGAATTAAGTATAATATAATCCTACTACTAATAAAAAGGAAAATAACAAGGACATACATGTAAAACTAAAGGAAGGAAAGGAAAGAACCAAACAAGAAACAGCAGTGATGCACAACACAACTGCTCGCCACCTGCTGACCAATGACCAGCCTGTCCCGGAGCAGCAATCGGTCCCTTCTGGATAACCCCCCCTGGTTTCTACCCTGGACATGATGTGCTGTGGCACTGAATATGCCTTCGGCTAGATCGGATCAGGTGTCCTGTTTCTGCTCTCTCTTGGCTCCTTGTGCTCCTCCTCACTAGCAGGGCATGAGAGACAGAAAAGCCCTTGGTTAGGGTGAAGCTCTGCCTGTAGGAATGAGACCTGAGGCCGTGAGCTATGTGCTGAAGGGATTAACGAGGTTGCAATCCCCTGATGGGGACGATGGGCTGCTGATGGGGGAGATGGGCTGCTCAGTGGGATGGATTTTAGCGCTAATGCACTTAGTGACTGTATCAAGGGCAATTGGAGTCTGTGTTTCTGTAGCTTCAATAAACAGCGCTGTTAACCTGGAACCCGGAATCGGGACAGTTCTTCATGATCACGGCTGACAGTAATCAGAGATGCAGCCAAGCCGCCCCCAGCCCCTCTGATCCCGGAGCTCTGCCTGGATCCCAGCGGGGATTTTTTGCCAGATTTCAATGCTCTTACTGCAACACTGCTGAACAAAAACTGAAACATTGGTGTGTTATCAACATTATTCTCACACTAAAGCCAAAACACAGCACTGCATCAGTTATTATGAAGAAAATGAACTCTATTCCAGCTGAAGCCAGGAAATGAATGCATGTGGTGGAGGAGGAGTCTGGTTTTGGTTTTGCCCCATTCCATTCTGACTTTATTTCTTTTCTTTCTTGCGCTGACAGTCTTCTGTTTCTCCTGGCTGTGCACTGGGAGTCAGGGTTTCTGTGTCCATGAAGCTGGGGAACATCCCTGGTAAACCCTCACGGGACTGTGAAATCTTTTCTTGAACCTTTGGCTATCATTGCCTTCCCCAAACCTGCCTCTGGAGGCAATCAGAGATCTGGCATAGACACCTCCTTCTCCCCAGGCCTGGCAGAGATGGGGTCCTCTTGCACAGAGGGTCTTCCCAGTGCCACAGCTCTCAGAAAGGAGCAGGCATCCCTGCAAAGTCCCCCAGGAAGGCTGTGACATCTACCCCGTATGGTCCTCTCCTTGGGCTGTGGGGCCCAATTGTCCTTGTCCCTTCAGGGCTTGGCTGGTGGCCACTGATAGATCTGCCACAATCACTGCCTCATCCCTGGTGGTCAGGATTTGGCACTCTTAACTCCTGCGGCCTTAGTTCTATTCCCAGCTGAGAAAGGGGCTTCTGCAGCAACTGCAGGTCCCAACGTTTTCTTGGGTGGCTGCACTTCCCTTGAGTGTTTCCTCGGGTTCAGTGCAGGGTTCAGGAGCACCTACACGTATTCATGGAGCTGGGTCAGGGCTGGATGAATTTGGGGGTGGCAGCAGCCTCCTGTCCCCGCACCGGCATCAGGCTACATCCCCAGCAGAAAAATAGCACTGGTGGAGGGCAGCCACAAGCCTGTAATGGACTATAGGGTAACACGGCTGCAGAGATCAGGGTGACCCGCTGTGTGGAGTGGACATGCTATTGCAGGATTTCTCCTTGAGATAAGCAGAGGGTGCAGGGCTGCTGCCCTGAACACTGCTGTGGCCCCTCTGCTAAACAGTAAGAGTTTCCTGCAAGATGAGGGACAGGGTGGGACTGCAGGACCCCTTGATGAGGGGTGACAGGTCTGTGTCTGTCCCCCCTGGGAGCAAGAGCAGGGGCTGCCTGTAAAAGCTCCCGCTGTGAGCAGGATTTGAACCTGCGCAGGGAAACCCCATTGGATTTCAAGTCCAACGCCTTCACCACTCGGCCATCACAGCAGCTTGCACTGGAGGGCTCCTCAGCAGCACAGGGCTCCTGCCTTGCCCCAGGGGACGGAACAGGACCTGATCCCACCCTGGGCATGGGTTCTGTCATCCTGGCCCCCATGCACGCCCAGCACAGGTACCACTGTTACTGCCACCACTGGCCCTGCACAGAGCTAAGGTGATGTGGAGATCAGCATCCCAGCAGTGCTAGGAAAGGGAGCCAGGTGCCAGTCACAGCATCGGTTGTGGTGTCATGGGGGATGGACATGGTGAGACGTCTATGTCCCGTCTTGTCTCCTTGTATCCAACAGGAAACTCATCCCAAGATGACCATCCCCAACCTCCTTTTCCAGACTGGGAACATCCCAGCTTCCTCCACTCCCCTCTCCCCCCAGTAACTGCCTCTGTAAAAACAGGTCCAGACCTGGCTAATGGCGCAGCCTGACACACAGAGCAGGCAGTGTTTTGTCCTGTGGCTGTCAGGATGATGTTGCAGACTTGTGTGGTTTCCACCAGGTTGCTCCCTGCGTTTCAGAGTTTGGAAGAGGGGATTTAGAGAAAGGAAGAGAAGCTGACTGTCAAGAGGAAATCTTTGCTGAGCGAGGTCTGGTAGTGACATTGGCCCCTCTTTGAAGCACAAATATCCTATTTGGAGGATGGTCCTAGAAGCGTGTCCTTGGTTTGGTGCTGGAGCTGGTTCTGGGAACCCATCCTGAAATATCCAAAGCCCTCTCACTGTGTGTCTAGAGTTATGCTCAAAAGCTTCACTATGTCCCTGCCACCTCACACCTCTCCCACAGGGACTTACCTGCAGGGAGCAGTTTGGATGGAAACCTCCCCATGTAGGAACTGCTCTTCTGTGCTCAGCTCCCAGCCACAAGGAGGGTCTGTCTGCATCACCTCACTCCCTGGCCTTTGCCTTGCTGGGGGTTTGGTTTCCCTCCTCCACTGTCCGGGCTGGACCAGAGTCCTGACACTGAGGTAGCCTTGGCACAGTCCCACAGGCATTGATGGTACCCAGGCACGCGTGTCCACTGATCAGATGCATTGACGTGTTGGAAAGCAAGTGCTCAGACCAGCTCCAACCCTGGACACATGAGATATCCGTATTCTGTTGCAGCCCTGCAGCTTTTGAAATAAGACTATGACCTCCAGGTCTCCTCCCTGGCAGGTCAGACCAGCTGCATCATGACATGTGTAAGGATGCGGCCAAGACTGTGATGGAGCCTGTGGGTGCTGTGCTGCTGTCCCTGACAAGCCAGGCAGAAGTGAAGCTCTGTTCCAGAAAATGGTTTGTTTGGGTTAAAGCTTGGACCACAAGCCCAAGGCCACGGTGTACTTCACATGGAGCACGGAAAGGGCCAGCAGCCGGCCCTTCCTTGCAGCAGGACTCCTGCAGCATAGTGTGGTCTGAGCAGAACCTCCGCACTGCTGCTTTCCTCCTGGAGCCAGTGGCTTGGAAGTGCCCGTGGGCTGCCTGTTGCAGTTGCCACCACTGGTGCTGGGTGGCGGGAGGCTTTGCAAAGGGCAGGACCCAACGGACCTGCTGCTCAGGAGGGGCTGCAGATGGTGCCAGGCCCTTACCCTCAGTGGCAGCTGAGGTCTCCTTCTAGACCTGCCAACCCTATCTCCAGAGGAGCCATCTCCCACTCTCCAGTCTGAGCATGGGGTCACAGTCTGAAATAAAAGTGGAAGGGATGGAAGAAGGGTTTTATTAAAAGATGGGTCAGGAAGACGTTTGGTTCATGAGGAAGAGCTGAAATTTTTAGAGATGTTTAGATTCATGGAGAGGAGGTGGTGTTTGCTCTGTGGGAAGGGGAATAATGAGAGTTATCTGTAAGGAAGAGATATGCTAGGTGCTGCTCAGGACAGGAGTCATGTTTTGGCCTTTCAAGCTGAGGTTTTAGCCTTTCTAGCACTACCACTGTGCTAGAAAGCCAAAGACCTTCCACAGCTTTCCTGCCCTACTGTTTGGGACAGAATTATGTCTGAATGCTCTGCCCTGCTGAGTCACGTTGAGCTGGCATAGCCCCAGTGACCACAGGGACTGCCAAGAGTGCTGTAAGCAGCAGGAGTTCCATGGATGGTCACCCACAGGTGTCTTTTCTGGGCAAAGGCACGAAGCAATCTGTACTCACTGATGGCACTGCCCAGTCTGTTGGGCTTACCTATTTCTCCATGGTGGGCTATGAGGTACTCTCCATGGCTGAAGGAGTGCTGCACTAAGAAGGCTTCATAGCCTTGGGTGTCGATGAGTGGTGAGCCTTTAAAGGACTTCAAAGACAGGTAATAGTCTCACTCCTTGGCATCATGCAACTGGCGAAACCCCTAGTGTGAAGCTAGAAAGCCCTGTGTTGCCATCTCCTGAGCATCCCTTGCTGTTGCTGTCACTCCCACACCAACACTGTCCCACTGAGAGAAGTTAGGAGTGAGCTAACCATGCTGTGGTCATAGGGCCCTCAAGCACATGTGCAGCTACTGCAAGATGGGTATCAGCTCCAGCTGTGGGATAGAGGGCTTGTTCTCAGCAAACTTCACGAGTCCCTAGCTGGAGAGCTAGACCCTCCTGGTGAGCCAATTCCCCTCCTCCAGAGGTGCTGGCTGATAGGGGTGGACTGGCTGAACCATGGGCAGAAGGAAAGTGTCCTGTGTGGAAGGGATTCAGTGGGTGGGAGAGGTACAGCAGGTGCGAGAGCTACAGCTGTATAGAATGATGAAGTAAAGAGGAAATAATCTCTTAGCCCAGAACTTCTCAGTTTTTCATGTGCTGTCAACCCACATTGTTGCCCAGGGGGGTTGTGGAGTCTCCTATGTTGGAGATACTCAAGGCCCGCCTGGACAAGTTCCTGTGTGATGTACCCTAGGTTACTCTGCTCTTGCAGGGGGGTTGGGCTAGATGATCTTTTGAGGTCCCTTCCAACCCTTGGGATTCTGTGATTCTGTGCTGCTCTGGCATTGGCCCCTTATGTATACTGCAGAGACCAGTAACGAGCGTGTTTCCAGACCCTGGATGTACCTTTGAGTCTGCAAGAAACCTGGACTAGGAGCTGTGCAGAGTATTCGCATCACCAGCTTTCCCCTGGGCATCATCTTCTGAAACTTCTCTTCTGTCCAAAGGCTGTATTTGGCCTTGAGCACAGCACAAGATGGCCTTCTTCATAGAAAGATAAAGTTACTTTTTTAGTACTAAAGCTTTTATGTTTTTAAAGTTGAAAGAACTGGTTTTATTAAATATCATCCCTGAACTGCTGGGAACTTTTGCTCTTCTACTCCCCCTACAATGTCTGTACTTCTATAGCTATTATTTCTTACTGTTTTCTGTTTTCTCCTGCTCACTCCATCCCTTTACAAGCTCTGTTGGAGCAGAAGACACACTGTTCTGTAAATCTGCAGTGGTTCTTCAATGCCACTGTGCGTGTGGCAAGGACAGGCTTGGCTTGCACAGGCTGTTGCCTCTCAGGATTATGTAAATAATCCACAGTTTTAAATATAGAAAAAATATGCCAGGAAGGAGCTTTGTATATTTGAAGTTGTACCTAAAATAAGTCCTTAATCACTGTTAGCCTTGAGATATTGTGGTTCACACCTGTATTTTACTAGCATCAGTGTATCTGTGTTGTGAGAATGAGTGCTGAAAAAGCTTGCGGGAAAATCAAAGCTGTGTCGAACAGCAAATGCTGCTTTTTGCCATTAAGATGGGAGATAAGGAGCATAATAATCTATGCGTTGTTACAGGTACGCTAGAGTTTACAGGTGAAGATCTGCAGCCTGAACAGTAATACCAAGAAGTAATGTCAGTAATACCAAGAGCCTGAAGGAGGAGAAATACACAGCTTCTACACTCAAGACAAAGAAGAGATCTGACGGAGGAATCTGCTGCTTGGTTGGCAGCTATCATGTACACTTAGCTGAATGAACATCAGCCTTGGTGGGCAGGATACCTGGTTTCTCCTGAAGCTCAAAAGATTGCACAAGGATACCATAATCCCTAGCTAGAGGTGACATAAGGCAGCCTGCCTGTGCACACGTGCAAGCCCTGTGTGCCACACTTACACCCAGACACAAGTGATTGTCAGTATACATGTAATGTTAATTCAAAGTCTGCATGGCCGCTGACTCCACTCTTGGGAGCAGCATTGGGCCACCTGTAAGTAGCAGCACAAACCCTCAAGGGTAGATGTTGTACCTGTACCAAGAGCAAACGGGGATTACCAGGCTGTCACTGAGACACTAAAGCAATTGCAATGATATGTGTCACAAAGACAAAAGAAATAGCAAACCCACGCTTCAGTTACCTGGACTTCAGCTCAGGTACATTTTGGGGGCAGAAAGCTGGACGGACGAGGTCGGGCACTTGCCAGGCTGAGCAGAGCCCCTCTGATACTAGTCTCAGCTTCTGCTTTGGTGCTGGAATTTCTCCTGAAGGGAAAAATATTGGCATTGTATTTTCAGCTTCTGAAAATGTGACCTTCACAAATGTTCAGGTTTTTTTCTTTTTCTTTTTCTTTTTTTTTGTGATAAAATTGAAAACCAGACATGTTTGTTAGCAGTTTGCTTTCTCCTATTTTCTTTTTATTTATTTTGGCTTAATAAGAACTGTGAAAATATTTAAACAGTAGGAAGGATTGGCTGCCTAATTCTGTGAGATTTACATGGCTGGTTGTCAGTAAGAATTCAGCATTGTCTTTTGTGATCAGCCTGACTGATGTTCTAAGAACTGAACCATTTCCACTACCTTCCCATCTGTCCATTGAAGTGCAGCTCTTTTCCCTGCTGTATAGCTGTTGGAATCCATGCCAAAGGGCTTGACTGGACCAACACATTGTTCCTTTCTAGACATTTCAGGATGCAATCTCCCACTTCGCACTTCAGACCCATTCTTATTTGCACAGGTATAACCTTGTGATTGTCCATATTACTATGCATTGGATTTTACTGGAGACAGCTCGAGCCTGCTCTGTGCAACTGCGTTGTTCTTTGTCCAATCTTTGCATTCCACAGTGATCAGCATTTGATTAAAATGCATTTCACTGATGATCTGACTATTTTTAACTACACAAACCATCTCACTAAGCAGTTTTAAATTAAGCACAACTTTGGTTCTCCTGGATGCAAGTTTTGGCAGATCCACCATTCAGAGATGCTGTATTTGTACCTTGGTATACTCCATAAATACATGTTGGCAAAATGACCCATTTCTGGCTTCCCAAACCATCAGAGACATCAACCAATGGGGAAAAGGAAGCTAAACTCCACCATCATCTTTCACCATCATGAAATTAAGATGACCTCTTTGACTTGCAGAAAAGAAATGTATGCCTTTTTTTTTCCCCTTTTTCTTGATTTGTCAAGTTAAGTCAATATTTACTCAGACGGAATGGAGAATTGTGCACCTTTCTGTTTAATCCAGGAAAGCAAACCTGCAGATATTTCCTCTTGGCTCAATCTGGTCATAGTTTCTCCTTTCTTGGCTCCACCCAGGTCAGACCAGGATAATTTTTGCCCTGGTCCTATAAAGGACTGGCTTGTTTCCCAGTCCTTCCAGCTCTGCAGAGATGGCAGGTAAGATCAGTACTTTTTAATTTTATATATGTATTTGATTTGGTATTTCTGGTGCAGGTGTTGGTGCATTCCATGGGGGAGCCCACGGAGATGAGGACACAGTACAGTGTTAGGAGCTGGTGGTCCTTCATACTAACTTCCCTCCCCATATATGAAATACATTCATTCTGAGAAGCAAGAAAAAGCAACTTTTCTGCCTCATGGAGCAATACCCTGCAGTATAGAACTGCAAGGGAGAAGCATCCTTCAATCCCTGTGAATTTGGTTGAAGAATTTCCACAGATTGTAAATGTAAGATAAGCTGCCTCACGATGACAATTTTGTTAGTCCTTCCAAATTTTGTATCTTTCCTGTCCTGAATGGTTAAAACACTGACTAAATTACTTAAAATATATCTAATTCTAATCTTTAGGCTGAAGATCTGCTTTCAGGGAAGGCACTGTGTCATTGTATAGAACATTGGTGTGAACGGATGACACACATTTCTAGCATTAATGTGAATAAGGAATAGAGAAATTTCAGGGAGCTTCAAGAAGACTAGTAGAGTTGGTCAAAGGGTGGAGGACTGGTGCTAGACAAATCAGCTTGTTTTGCTCAGTAACAAGGCAGAGAAGGCACAGAAGGACGTGTCGGGTCTCCTGAGATACACCATCCAAAGGCAGGACACCAGGACACTGCCCTCTTCCATTGCACCTTCCCAATAGTCTCCATCACTGAAGCCTGTGCTGTACTTGGCTGCCTCTTCCTCTGCAGTTACTCAGCCCAGTTTACCAAATGTCCCACAGCACAGCGATGTCCCTGTGTCCTGCCAGCATCCACAATGACAGCCCTGGCCAGCCAGGGTCCCACTTAACAGACCTGGTCAGAGGGATGCTGTGGTTTATTCCTGGATCCTGAAAGAAATATACAGAACAAACCTGACAATCTCTTTTGATATCTCAGTGAAGCCCTGCGCATTCAGAAGATTTATGTTGTATTTCTCTGTAGGCTTAAACCCAAGAATGACTCTCTTAGGATCCATCATCACACTCTACTTAGTCGGGGCAACGGACAGCTCATTAAATAGTAAGTTTCTGTTTCTCCTTTGGATGCTATTGTGCTCGGAAGGGTGTGAATCAAAACTCAGTCTGAGTTCCTAGTTAGATATAACTCCAACATAAATCTGAAATATCCCATAGACTGGCACACTATCAATGAAGTCAATACCTAAGAAACTTGCCTATGGAAATGGCCTATTTAACCAACAGGTCTTCCAAGCACATGATCATCATTTTATGGCAGGGAAACTGGGTCAGATGTCATATATCTATCTTCTATGCATTTCCCTACTCACAGGAAAGACTAGAATCAAAATGAAGGGTGAAAAATGACTTCCTAAAAGCCTCACAAAGCCATCAGAGCCAATTCTGTGAAATGGATAATGAACTACTGCCTTATGGTCACTTCTTGTCCTGTGAATTTCAGGACCTCAGAATGGGATAAAACAGATGAGTAAAAGAAGCACCAATAAAGGTGTCCAGTGGGAACTGCATGTAAATGGAGTCACTGCACCTCAGCACCCAGCTGGGGGGTGGTATCTAGCTGTAGTTCCTGGTGTGCATTAAAAAGTATCCTCAATTTCTTATATTTTATTTTTTTTCTTTTTTGTAAGAAGAGGACTCTGAGGTGCTGTCAGACTCATCTCTTCTGAGCAGCATTAGTGAAGCCAGGCAGCTGGTAGACACAGCGTATTTACATGCCCGGAAAAGGTGAGTCCTTTTTTGCACGAGGGCCCCAACATTATAAGGAAATAAGAGAAAATATATGTTTGTGTCTTCTGTTATCCAGTGTATTATGGTGGGGGTCCCCAACTCAAGAGGGACGTGGAGCTGTGGGAGCCAGTCCAGAGGAGGCCACAGAGATGCTGTGAGGGCTGGAGCAGCTCTGCTCTGGAGCCAGGCTGAGAGAGCTGGGCTGGGGCAGCCTGGAGAAGAGAAGGCTCCTGAAGGGGAGACCTTAGAGCAGCTTCAGTGCCTAAAGGGGCTGAAGGGAACCTGGAGAGGGGCTTGGGACAAGGGCCTGTAGGGACAGGCCAAGGGGAATGACTTGAACCTGCCAGAGGGGAGACTGAGCTGAGCTCTTAGGCAGAAGCTCTTCCCTGTGAGGGTGCTGAGGCACTGGCACAGGGTACCCAGAGAAGCTGTGGCTGCCTCATAGAATCATAGAATGGTTAGGTTTGGAAAGGACCTTAAGATCATAAACGCCCCTTACATGGCTTGGAGCAACCTGCTCTAATGGAAGATGTCCTTGTGCATGGCAGGACATTGAAAATGGATGAGTTTTAAGATCCCCCAAATATTCCATGATTTATTATGGAGACACCTTTTTTTCTAGGGCTCTCCCTGTAATAGCTGGAGAGGTCCTTTTGCCCAGTTTGGCTGGATTCTCGTGACCCATCTCAGTCCCAGGGCCACATTTCATCACCTGCAGCTATTTCCTCCTCACCTACACTGCCACAGATGCCCCTCAGTAGTTCACAGTGGTGTGGGCACAGCAGACACATGCTGAGTCCTCTTCTGACTGCTGAAGTTCTGCCCCTCGCTGGAAGGGCCATAGTTGTGCACATCAGTACCCTGTCACAAATACATCTCAGTGGAAGTCAAACCCCAGGTATCCCTATGTGTATTGTACCAAAGAGTGGTCCCAAGCCTCTGGGGAGAAGTCTCTTTCCACCCATCGTAGGGAAGGTTTTAGCACTTCAAGAAAGGCCCATGGGATAGGGAAGAGATGAAACAGGACCAAGGTTATCTCTTTTTTCACAGACTACGTATTGTGACATAGTAAATGTAAAATTTTATACAGTCACTGAATAAATCAGTTTTCCACTGATCTAGATTTTCACATGATATAACAACATTTACTGTGACAAGGATGTAATCTAAACTTAGAGTAGTTGATCACAATGATTTATTTGCCAGAATGTGTCTAAGGCGATGCACAAAGCTGATGAGCAACCAGCTTGTCCTGGGTGAGCAGGACCTGCCTGGTACCCAGCAGTGCTGTCACATCTAAGTACACCCACCGTAGCCTGACAGAGGAGGTCTGATTTCAGATAAGGTTTTTCATGCGACTCTTTTATGTTCAGCTTAAAGAGAAAACTAGAGGAAAAGGTTGCCAACCCAATGGATTTCCTGAAGCATTTAAAGGACCCAGTAGGAAGAACCAGATCTGCAGTCCGTGCTGCTGATTACTTGGAAACCACTTTGAAACTCCTCAAAATAAAGCTGCATCTCTCTGGGAAACTGAGATTCAACATTACAGGTAATGTGGTTTAGACCTGAGTATCTTAGAAGCAACTAAGAGCTGAAAATTTGCCAAATCAGGAATATCAGACAGAAACTCTTCCCTGGCTCAGAGAACTGCCTTACAACAGCCCTGGGAGAATAGACTTTAAGCATGTTCAAAGGCAGACCAACCACCTGTTTTATTCACCATCTTTAGCAGTGCCTGTCTCATACCTTTGATGATAAAACCAGCCTAACAATAAGCATGATAAACCTGGGACATGCTGAGTACCAGGAAACTTTGGCCGCTGAAAACAGTAGCCCATTATCCACCTTGTGTGCTCATAATTTTTTCCCAGTCTAGGGTAAAACATAGCTGGTGGTGATATGGTCTCCATATTCCAGTGGGAAGTTGTTGCGTGCCAACCCTTTTTCCCTAACCCAGCAGTTGAGATCTTACCCACTAAAGTGTTTAAGCACCAAATTAACAATTCAAATCCAGCTGTTATATATCCACAGCCCTGATTAAGCACACCCAAATGTTGACCTAGAATACCAAGAATCTAAAATAAAAGTAAGATCAGGTGTTATTTTGCATGGTTTCTCTTACAGACCTACTAGACAGAAAACAGAAGGAGGTGATTTCCAAAGAAACTGGCTGTGACTATCAGATTCGTTCCATTAAATGCCCAAAAAATGATGTTTACCGGACCATCACTGGGGAGTGCAACAACAGGTAGGATGTGCGTGTGCACAAAGGGAGTCTTGAGTCTGTACTTTGGCCCAGGATATGTGGCTTAAGGTCACTTGTGTAAGTACCTTTCAACAGGCCAACAGTAGTGAAATGCTCCTTTTCGTGGTGCCTATAACAGATCATAGAATATTTAGGGTTGGAAAGGACCTTAAGAGACAGGCAAACCTCACCCTAGACCATGTCAGCCAAGGCTCTCTCCAACATGGCCTTGAACGTTGCCAGAGATGGAGCATTTACCGCTTATTTGGGCAGTCTGTGCCAATGCCTCACCACCCTCACGATAAAGAACTTCTTCCTTTAACCTGAACTTCCCCTGTTTTAGTTTGAACTCATCACCCATTGTCCTACTGCTACAGTCCCTGATGAGGAGTTCCTCTCCAGCATTCTTATAGGACCCCAGATATTTAATTTCTACCTATGGCTGGCAGAAAAAAAAAAGATGGAATTTCTTGAAAATTTCAGATTTGAGCCCGTTGTCCTCCACGTACTTCTTTGGGTGAAGGAAGTGACTTCTTGGGGTAGGGGGAGGTGAAAAGTTGAGAAAAGCAGATTTTGGAGCTATGACAGCCAGCCTCTCGCTCAGATTGAGGCTCCAGGAAATCACCCCTTCACTCTTCTGTAGCATAATACTGATTTCTCCAGGCTGGTTCATATGAAAATATTCTGCTATCAGTATGTCTGTGTGGCTACGGTTGTGGAGGGGAAGTAAATGACTTAAATTCTTGTCTCTTCTAGCTTCATGTATTGTGTATCCTTAGTCTGAATAAATGAGGTCTTCAGCTTTTTGCACATAGCTTCCCCCCTGGTTCAAACTTGGGATCATACATCTATTTCCATGTTAACCTTTTTTTTTTGTAACCAGAAGATGGCAAAATTTCCAGTTTAATACTTGAAAGTCAAGGCTTGCTGTCCTGTCGCAGATTTGCTGCCTGGTATGCTAACTCCGGCCACACAGTCTGAGTGGGACTTGCATCTGATGTGCACCTGATGTGAAAAAGATGTGCCAGATGTGAAGACATAGGCCAACTCTGCATCACACTAGCAGGGAGCTTACAGTCATGGTACTAATGTTACAGGCTGTCTGCATGTTCACCCACAGACCCCAGGGCCTTCAGCTCCCCAAGGATACCAGTGTCCATACATTCATGGAATCATCCAGGTTGGAAAGGACCTTTCAGATGAGCAAGTCCAACCATCCCCTAGCACTGCCAAGTTCACCACTAAACCATGTCACTAAGGCCTCACCTACATGGTTTGTGAACACCTCCAGGGATGGTGAATCCAGCACTGCCTTGGGCAGCCTGTTCCAACGCCTGAGTACCCTCTAGGGATGAAATTGCTCCTAATATCCAGTCTAAACCTCCCCACACTGAATTTTAGGCTCAGGATAGGGGTTGTCCTTGGCCTTGCTAATCTAGTGGGCTGCAAGGGGACTCTGTGCTATGTTAACATTTTTCCAAGATCTTGCTCAGCTTGAGACACACACCATGAGATAGTGCTCAAGTATCCTGCAAAACTCTGCCTGCAGGGACAGTAACAGCAACCCAAGCATAGCCATGGTGGAACTGGGTCCTTAATAATTAATGGCATTGCTTCAGCTGTGGTGTGGCAGCTGTTCTAGGGCATGCTCTGATTTCCCAGCACACTGCTGTAAATTCTGGGTATTCCACTCTCTCTTTCAGTATAGGCAGGTATTACCAGATTGTGTGGATTTAAGAGCTTAAAACACCAGCTGATATTCAGTAACTGGTTTCCTCCAAATAACCTGTGTTTCTGTGTCCTTAGGGCTACAGATCAATGAGCATTAGTGTTCTTCTGAACAAGTGTTGCTGAGTTTACTGATTCAAATTCTTCTGAGCAGTGTGAGGCAATAGAACATGTAGCCACAGATGCAGATTGCAGTTTGAGAGGTTCTATGTTGGATGTGGGGAGAAACTTCCTGAAGGGCAGCTGTGGCACAAGTCCCCCCAGGTGAAGGATCTTCATTATTGAAAGCTTTCCAGCTGGGCAAAAGCATGGCCACCCTGATCACTGGTGATGGCCTTGATTATGTATGGAGCAGCAGTGGAGACAGAGATATAAATGCTAAATAAAATTAATATAATGACATGAGAAAACTTTTCTTAATGTCCAACATTCTCTGTTGCCAGAGTAATCTAATATGGGTTAAAGTGCTGCAAAATGTTAGTCTCTACAAGTAGCAAGCCTGTTCATTACTGGCATTTGCTTTTCTTCCTGTGATGCTGCAGAAAGCATTCTCATCTGGGGTCTTCGAACCGTGCGTTTGCTCGCTGGCTCCCAGCAGTGTATGAGGATGGAGTGTCTGTTCCCAGAGGAGCAAGTGAAGGAAAACTCTATAATGGATTTCCACTCCCACTGGTGAGAACTGTTGCTCTTGTCCAGGTAACACTGCATCTATCGGAAATGAAACAGTGATGAGGTCTTGGTCCTCTCCTCTGACCTCATTCATGGAATGTCCAAGGTTCTGGTCAAGGTTTAGGTTTTAGAATTGATTTTTGCAGAGCCCGCAGCAGGAAGGCGGTGGCGCCAGCAGCTGGATTTGACATTGCACCACGGAGGGGTGGCCGGGACGGCGCCGGGGCAGTGCCTGCTGCGGGCTGGGGCACACAGAGCAGCGGGATCCCTGGCACCGTGGCCATGGGTGCCCATTGCTCACCCACTGGGAGCCAACACTCAGAATGCGTGGCACTGGGGCAGTCACATGTTTTCATTTTGATTTCCTGCAGGTTCGAAAAGTGTCAAATGAAATTGCTCACACAGGCAATGAGAACATCACTCAGGATCAAGAGCTCTCTCTTGTCTTCATGCACTGGGGCCAGTGGGTGAACCACGACATAGACTTAGCCCCTTCCAGTGGTGCAGGAGTGAGCCCAGAGCTTCGCTGTGAGACTGACTGTACCTTCAAGTCTCCCTGCTTCCCGATTAAGGTACCCTTTCATTCCATCCCATGCTATCCTAAGACAGTAAAAATAAAACCTCATGACTTTCTGAGGCATCACTTATGTTTGCTCTAGTTTCCCCCCGATGACCCCCGGATGCCAAGCTCACACTCCTGCATGCCATTCATTCAGTCAGCATCTGTGTGCAACCCCAGGACGTTCACTCGTGAGCAGATCAACGCCGTCAGTTCATTCATTGATGCCAGCACAGTGTACGGCAGTGAGGACTCTGTGGCAAAGAGCATCAGAAATCAGACAAACCAGCTGGGTTTGTTGGCTGTGAACCAGAATTTTACTGATGCAGGGCTGGAATTTCTGCCCTTTGAGAACAAAACAAAAAGTGTTTGTGTTCTCACCAATGAGAGCATGAACATCCCCTGTTTTAAAGCAGGTAAGGTGCATCTGTGGAGTAGTTTTCAGTGGTCCAAAAAGTCAAACAGGATCATGATGGTCAGGTGTCTGAAGCCATTTTGTATTTGTATGAGGCACTGCAAGACATGATTGTGTAAAGTGAAAGACAGGCGAGCCCCCAGATTAAAAAATAACAATAATTGAGCAATAACTGTTTAATTAAACATGAAAACTATTTTGCTTTCATTTCCTGAAAGAGTTACAGCAAATCATCCTCCCTTTAAAATGTCTTTTCAAAGGTAGAAGAACTTTTCAATAGAATAAGCACCAGTGTTTAAAACTTCTCACTTATTTTTTTCCCCTTCTTACCTAGAATTCACCATTTAGTTTTCATCTAAATCAATACTATCAATTAGACACTCTAGTCAATTCAGTTAAGTCTCTCTGGTACCACCTTCTGAATGTTTCATATTTCAAATATCCCATCCTACATCAAAAGAGAAGTTGAGAAGTTTGACTAAAATTAAAACAAACTAATGACTCAGAACTTATTAAAATGGGAAAGTCCATCATAGCCACAACACCAAAAAAATGTGAGAAACTTGCAAAGTGAATCCTAAGAATATACACGCAGCACTGGTGTAGTTTTATCTTTGAGGTATGAAAGGAAGGCAGATATATATCACAAAATGAGACAGTTACAAGTGCTTCACGACCATGTGCAATGTAGTTTAAACTGTGGAAAGCCTCTTCTCAAAGGGTTTTGGCTAAATCGCTTAAACAGAGAATGTTTTGTCTGTGCCAGAAACAAATATCTGGCGCGAATGGTGACTGATGGGAAGCTTAACCATGATCATATGGACAGTAATGCTATCAGTTGTTGCTCACCTGTCCAAACAAAAACCTGCTGCTGAACTAAAAAGCAATGCACAAAATTCCTACCATATTTTCATTTATAGGTGACAAACGGGTAACTGAAAACCTGGGACTTTCTGCACTGCACACTGTCTTCTTACGAGAACACAATCGCCTGGTTACAGAGCTGAGCAAATTAAATCCTCACTGGGATGGAGAAAAGCTTTACCAAGAGAGTCGAAAGATTGTAATTGCCATAAACCAGGTAGTGATGATCACTGCTCACTGTTCATCATCCTCATCCTTAGGAAGGGTTTTTCCTCCAGGAAAAGGAACCATGATTTGAAAATATAGTGCAGTTATTTGAAAACTGTGAATAAGTATAGTCCATATGAGACAGCATGGTTATCCAGAGCTTTTTTATCATTATTTAGCAATTTATCAATTATTTATTGTATTAAAGAATTTTAATATAGTATGCCAAACTCATGCCATTGGTACAGCTCTTTTTTCTGAAGATCTTAATAAACTCTGGTACTGGACAGACTCCATGTTCATACTCTGCAGTTTGATGGCATATATACTGTAGCTGCTGAAAACTTGATCTGCTTTTGTGCTTTTTCAGATAATAACATACAGAGATTACCTCCGACTTCTGCTTGGGGAGGAGACCAGCAAGTGGATCCCTTCGTACAGTGGCTACAATGAGAATGTGGATCCTACAGTCTCGAATGTTTTTTCTCTGGCTTTCCGATTCGGTCATACATCAGTACAGCCTTTTGTATCCCGTTTGGATGACAGTTTTCAGCCTCTGGGTTCATTCTCCCATGTTCCTCTTCATTTGACCTTTTGCGCTACATGGAGAATTATAATGGAAGGTAAGAACACAAGACAGCCAGCAGTCCTGCTCTGGCCCTGCAGCAGACACTCATGTGGAGGTCAGCTGGTAAAATACATGAGCCCAGACACATAAGCCAAAGCCTGCTTTAGCTCCCACTTATTTGACTGGCCTCATACAAGTTACAGTGCCATTCAGCTTGGAAGGTGCTCATGACATGTCTACCCAGGGGCCTGCGGACAAACGGGTGATCTGCTAACATGGGGCAGCAGGACAGCCCTGCAGATCTGTCACCAAACGCAACCTAACACTGGTTCTGCATTGTACCCAAGCAAAGGAGCCCTGCCAAAAATTACATGCTGTTATACTCCAAACACTGAGCATTATCAAGCACCAGCTCCTGCAGAAGCAGCCGCACTGGGGCAGGATTTTGCATCAGAACATACAGTTTTGTAGCTTCTTTTGTACAGTTTTTCAGTGCTGTCTCCCTCAGTTCACTGCCCAATAATTGCATTCATATCTGAACACGTCAGTAAACAACCAGAATACATAACAGATTAAACCTCCTTCTCAGGTGCCAGAACATCTCTCAGCTCAGCAAGACCTGACAGTGTGAGCATTGCTCACAGTCACTCAAACGGTGCAACTGCTCCTGCTCTTCCAGGAAGCATGAAATTCACTGTACCAAATGTCAGTCAAAATTTAGGTCAGTCTAAACTGCTACATCCTCTAGTCTAAACGATTATGTATGTATTTAGCAAGCATTGCCAGAGGCTGAAGCATCCTGTTTCCTGGAGGTAGCCATCTCTCCTCAGGACTCTACAGGGAGTTGCGGGACTCTGCTTTTATACAGTTCGTATCTGCAGACATGAATCTTTCCAAGGAAGACAAATGCCTCTTCCAAAATGATTTATCTAACTAATTATGGAAAACATACCAAAATACACATGCACAGTCAATTTTCCTGTGTTTTACTGATACTGCCTCCTTAAGGGCTATGAAAAAGACATAGACAAACAGACATGGACTGATTCCATCATTGCATGTAATGTTTTAATAAATATATGTCAACTAATAGCTAATTATAAACAAAATCAATTGCAAAAACTAAACCTTGAACAGAACCTTGGACATTCCATGAATGCCCCATCCCTGGCAGTGCTCAAGGCCAGGTCGGTCACAGGGGCTTGGAGCCACCTGCTCTAGTGGAAGGTGTCCCTGCCCATGGCAAGGGTTGGAACTGGATGAGCTTTAAGGTCCTTACTAACCTGAAACATTCTATGATTCTGTGATCAGTACATGATGGATACTGACAGGCTATGGAGTAGTTCTGCAGAAAGGGATCTCGAGGTCCTGGTGGACAACAAGTGAGTTTAGGGCTATGGAAGGGAATGATGAGGGATGAGGAGGAGTGGGGAATCTAGTTACTAAAGTTGGGCCTCATCTACTGGCATACGCAGATATGTATGTATGCACTAACGTATGTTGAAATGGAAATATGGAGTTAAGTAAATTCCACACAGCCCACAGTAGAGAAGACACCTAATGCAGCACTATTAAACTGCAAAATGGGACCATCAGAACTGCAACTTGGTACTTCTTTTGATTTGCAATGAATGCAGGTGGCATTGACCCACTGGTAAGGGGCATGGTAGCTGATCATGCAAAACTGATGAAACAGAATCAACTGCTGATTGAGGAGCTCCAGAACCACCTTTTTGAACAGACAGAGATAATGGGTCTGGATCTCGCAGCCCTGAACATGCAACGGGGAAGAGACCATGGCCTTCCAGGTAAGGAGACACAAGTCCACATTTCTTGTGAACAATACTCTTTGCTTTTGCTGCCTATGTTAATTCTAATATACTAAGCTTTTTCTATACCAATGAGAAGAAACAGTATCCTGATTTGAGGGAAAAGGATGCATAAACAATTCAGCTCAGGGAATGAAAGGCCTCTGTATTATAAAGATGTTTTTTCTGAGGGTTTAAGAAAAGGACAAAAGGCTTGGAAAGCAAAGATGATAGTTGGGATAATGTAATAAGGAGGGGTGGAAACAGTGGTGTGCTGCAAAGAGAGAGCATGCGTGGTATAGAAGGTACAGACAGAAGCAACCAAGCTCAGGTTTCGAGTGGGCTAGGCAGACCATCTGTGCTTTGTTCTTCACACACCAATGATTATTTTGTGTCTTCAGACAATCTGGAGCTCTGAGCAGAAGCGGCTTGCACCCACAGGTCTGACTGCTCCCATGCACTTTAGAATGGGTGCTCTTGGGTTAAGCACAGCCAAATGTTCTTTCCTAGGACTTCAGTCCTAGAAGTTTTGCCTCCCAAAAAAGGAAGGGCTGGTGCATTCATTCTGAGCACTAGGTATCTCTAACGGACAGGATGCAATGAACTTATAGTCACATGCAAAGACAACCCAAATTGTCAGTTCAGTGTGTGTGTACAAAATGCACATTTGGAAACAGGGCATTCATTGTGACTGTCTAGACATTCATGTCTTCCAGCTCCTTTAATGCCATGAGAAGAAACAGATATTGTTTATGAGCCAAAGGGTCTGTTTAGATCCTGAGCCTAGGTGGATGATGTGGCAACATAGGTCCTGGTGTTTCTGCTGGTCCTGCTTTTTCAGGTTACAATGCCTGGAGGCGCTTCTGTGGGCTCTCCCAGCCTCAAAACTTAGATGAATTCTCTGAGGTGCTGGGCAATTCCAAACTGGCGAAAAAGTTCATGGACTTGTATGGGACACCGGACAATATTGACCTCTGGATTGGGGCAATCGCAGAGCCCTTTGTTCCGCAAGGCAGAGTTGGACCCCTCCTGGCCTGCATCCTTGGTACCCAGTTCAGGAACCTGCGTGATGGGGACCGGTAGGTAGCTCTGAGAGCAAACCTTCCCCATGGCACTTATTGTGAAAAAAAATGCTGACATTTTGTGCAACCCACTCATCCTGCTGTCTCTGAGATGTCAGTGAGTGCTCCCAGCAAGGCTCACACCTAGATTGTAGCCCATTTTCCAAAGGACTCTTTTTCAGTCCATTCTTATGGACCCATGCGGCTGAGGAGCACCAGCTCCTGGCCATGGTGATCTGCAGTAGTCTCTGCCTGAGGTGACATTTGCTCTCAGGGCACAAAAGGGGGGGCTCAGTCACTGCACTCCAGCAGCCTGATGATGCTGCCTGGGAGAGGCAGGCTCTCTGCAATGGCAGATGAGTGGCAGAATCCAGATTTGATGATTCAGGAGACACCTCTTTCCAAAGGGGTGCCTGCTGCCTGAAGGTGGATTCAAACAAAGACTCACATACAATCATAGAACAGAATCATAGAATAGTTTGGGTTTGAAAGGACCTTTAAAGGTCATCTAGTCCAACCCCCCTGCAATGAGCACCATGGTCAGATTGCTGTCTTGCCAAGTAACCAGCACCAAATGCCTTCAAGAAGACTATAAACTGCTTCTGAAAATGTTACAGATTCTGGTGGGAGAACCCAGGAGTTTTCACTCCGCAGCAGTTGCATGCACTGAGAAGCATCTCGCTGTCAACAGTGATCTGTGACAATACTCATATCAAAAAGATACCCAGGGATGTGTTCAAGACCAACAGTTATCCTGAGAACTTCACTGACTGCCACAAGACTGACAAACTCGACCTCTCACCCTGGAAAGATGATGATGAGCCTGAGAGTAGCACAAAAGGTATAGAGTTTTCTGACATCTGCCCATAACAATAAATGCTCTGCAAGGTCAAACTCTTCCATGCCCAAAGAAATAGAAGAATTAAGGTCATCACAGTGGCTCTGCCCCCTCCCAGAGTCCTTGAGCATCCATTCAGCCACACTCAGACTCCACTGGAGGCAGAGGTGCTGTTAGACTGGTCTTCTTGCAATCCATCGCCTTCAGCATCCCTTACTAGTCTGCATCTTCCTCTTCAATTAGATGGGAAATCCCCGAAAATCCAGTCTGTACTGGTCCTCCTCTAAACACCTTATTCCAGGACAACTGTAATCTTACTTCACAGGAAGGGTCTCCTTGAAGAAATCACTTAGAATTAGCCAACCTGCTCAAAATTCTTACTCTGCTGCTCCAAGGCCCTGCCCTCCCCTTTAAAGCATTTTAAGGTCTATCTGGAGTTGTTTTTACACTGTATGGCCTGACACACCATAGTTTAACACACATAGTCAGAAATTATGATGTGCTACATCCTGAAAGATAGTGAAAAAGTGTCTTCATATGAGAGATGTGGACACCAGCTGTGTCCTCCTACTGATATGTCTTTGGCATGGGCTCTCCCCGTTGAAAATAATGTATGGAGAGCAAAGACTTCCTGAAGACAGCTATGACCTAAGCAGAATGGACTGGATTGGATTTTCAGCCTGGAGAAGAGAAGGCTGCATGGAGACCTCATAGCAGCCTTCCAGTATCTGAAGGGGGCCTATAGGGATGCTGGGCAGGAACTCTTCATTAGGGACTGTAGTGACAGGACAAGGGGTAATGGGTTAAAACTTAAACAGAGGAAGTTTAGATTGGATATAAGGAGGAAATTCTTTCCTGTTAGGGTGGTGAGGCACTGCAATGGGTTGCCCAGGGAGGTTGTGAATGCTCCATCCCTGTCAGTGTTCAAGGCCAGGTTGGACAAGGCTTTGGGTGAGATGGTTTAGTGTGAGGTGTACCTGCCCATGGCAGGGGGTTGGAACTTGATGATCTTAAGGTCCTTTCCAACCCTAACTATTCTATGATTCCCTTTTGGTAACCCATTTATAGCTGAGCACAATACCTGGGGATTGCCTACTCTGTCCTTCTGCAAGACACAGACCACAGACCATCTCCATGAAGTTCCTGTACTGAGTTTGATTAACTGTGTTTGAGAGAGATGTTGTTAAAGAAAGACATTTGCACTTAATATTAAGACTAAATTATGGTGATTGCACCCCATTCTTTAGGAACCAAATCCAGATGATGCTCGCCTTCCCTCCATATAATAGATGTTTCCTGATTTCTATTATTAACTTGGTCTTATGGTCACTAAAATTTGCTGAGCTGCTTCCTGTGGCTCCTTTATCACCAGGCTGGGAGGAAGCTGAACTGCATTTGCTTAACCCAGAGAAATTCCAGGGTGTTAAAAAGCAGCTACTAAAAGTTTAACCTTTTCAAGCACCAAGAAATTGCTGCAAAAGCCCTCATCCAAAGGCAGTCTGATATTAGCTCACCTTTTGACAAGTCTGGAAGGGGTCAGCTAGTATTCAGTTACCCATTCACCAGTGACTGGTTTTAGCTATGGAGTCAAATAAGAATGTGGGAGAAATATTATGTCCGAGGAAGACTTTCTGCCTCTCAGTAGCTTTTTCTGCTTCATTGACAGTTTCGAACCCTGCTCCTCAGTCCAGCAGCAGAAACTCCTGATGGTGCCATGGAGCTGCTCTTGGGAAACTGCTGGCTGTACATCATGCTCAGCTGAGTGCTCTCAACTGAACCTTGGCACATGATTTCCCAGAGAGGAGCTCAAGACTGTGTCTACCGTTCTATTTGCTGTACTGTGATTTTTATATCATTGATTTGTAACAGCTTCCAGCAGTGTCAGTCTTCACATGGAAGGGTGATGACATTTTATTGTCTGTGGCACTAAAAAAATATTCAGAGGTGTGCAAGGCTTGGTTGGGTGCTGGATGCTTTATGACTCTCTAAAGGCACAGACAAGACAAACCTTTCACTTTTCATCCCAAATGGGTGTTAAATCTGGAAGTTATTGTGCTTGCATTTCAAATTAAAATTCATTAAACTTTATAACTGCTCAAAAATTATCAAGTTCACATAATCTTTAGCAAAACTTTCCTTATCTCCTTCTAGACTTGCACAAGAGCATAAACTAGGCTGTTTCTAATCAGCAGTGAAATGTCAGTCTTTGAAGACACTGGAGAATGGCAGCTGCATCTTGAAGTCTAGGGACATCTTTAATTTAAATCCTATAGTGAACATGTGTGTATTTGGGTGTGTTGGGCAGCAATAAAATACATTGTATGCACTCATCTACATTTGGCATCAATTCTGATACTTCAAGTGAATGTCCAAAACATGATTCATAGCTAAATGTATGAGCATAAAAAAGCAAACCATAAGCTGTCTGGAATGGAAATCACAAGCATTAGCTAAAAAATAATCATCTGGCAGGGGTTATCACTCCCAAGACCCCATTAAGTCAATAAATACCAAACATGCAAAAATCATATTAAGTTTCTGTCTCCCTTTGCACAACTGGGAAGGAAGGAAGGGACTGGGAGAAAGAAGGTGTCAGCCTAACATAGAGTCATGAGTGAAGCTTGTGGGTGGAGTAGGAGCCTCTCTGGTGAGGACTCATGAAGCAGTTGCTTGGTAAAATCCCATGGCTACAGGATCAGCATCTGTGCTTTGCCATGGGGGGTATGCTGGCAAGTCATGCTCCTCTCACCCAGTGCCCCATGCTGCCCACCCATGGTCTGGGATCCCACAGGACACCCACTGGTCTGTCAGGGCCCTGACAGGGCAATGAGGCTTGGGACTGTGCTGCTCCATGGGCCCCTAGCACGTGGGGAATGGGGGAAAGCTACAGTGACCCTGCGTAGAGAAAGGACAGACATTATCTTCTGACACGTAGAAGAAAGGATCCAGAAACCAGGAGCTGCAGCTCTCAGAGAGTATTTGAGTTGAAAAATACATTGGTTGTTATCGTGGGGTTGTTATCATGGGATTGTCAAGGCATGGCAAGGATGTGAAGCAACACATTTCGCTGTTTGCTTGCCTCTGGTTTCTGAGTCTCCAGCTATGCTCCCTCACACCATCAAGATCTGCCCAACTGCTGAACACAAATCTTGGTTTGCTTAAAAGGAAGGCTAAGAAAAACAAAGAAATCAGCGAGCCCTGCAGACATGTGGAAGATCTTTAATTCCAAAGTTGTCTTGCTTTTCCCCTCTTGTGACAGAGCTACCTCCCAAGTCCTCACCACAGAAAGAGGTAGGAGACAGTGCCTTCTCCTGACTGTGTTTCCTGGGGCATGTGTCAGCCCTCCAACCCCAAGACAGCCATTTCCCCAGGCAGGATGGTCACACACTTGGAATAAATGCCTCCACCTTGTTGGTTTTGAATACGAAATGTTGATTATAAGCACACAGTGATGATAACAAGGGTCCAGCTCTGCCCCGGTCCAGCTGGAGAGAAGTTCTCAGGGTTCCAATTACAAAGAAATGTCCCACTAACCACCCTGTGTCTGCCCATGCACGTGGCACAGTTCTCTGGAAGGAACATGGTAAAGGTTTCACCACCTCCATTTAAAAGCTTTCCTTCCCCTAGGGATGTTTTTCTTGTCTCTGATACGTTGGGGTTGCAATCCATGGTTGTCTCTGCTGCCAGACCTTCTTGTGGTTGCCATGCCCTCCCCATCAGCTACTACACACACAGCAGGAGCTGGAATACAGGATCGCTAATGGGAAGTCCTGTTCGTCATTCCTGATATCCCCTGATAGCATGGAATCACAGACCTGCTTGGTGAGCTTGGGAACATCATAGGGGCCCATACTGAAGGGCTTCACTGCTGGCAGGATCTGGATGATGCTTTTTCCTGGGAGAGCAAGATTGGAGGATCAGAGAGGAGGAAGAAAATACACGAGTATTTTCTATAGGTAATATAGAAGAAAAAGAGAATATACAGCAGAGGGACTGGTGTAAAATAAGGAACAATACAGAAATGAAGGGAAATGCCCTCTTTCACACACCAGCAGTGGTGTAGCAATCTGGTAATATCCCACATGCACACACCAAAAATCCAAGTCAGGCTTTTCCCATCTGCAGAGACTGTGAAAATCATAAATACAGAAAGAGGTGAATCTCTCCCCGTATACATCCAACGCAATGATTTGTATGTAGTAAGTTTTCACTGTGGGAAGACCGCAAGTTCTGTCTAGATCACAGCAAAGTGAATGAGAGGTTTGCAAGACAACATATCCAAACTGCCCATGCTCTGATCTATGTTGCCAAACTCAGCAGAGCCCTTCCTTCTAGAAACACACTTTGGGACGAGAGGAATCGTGCCCAGGACTCCCTGTTTGGCCAAGGTGTGTTGTGCTCCTCTCAGGAAGCTGTAAACAGAACGAATGTACCAGGAAGCTGTCAAAAGAGCTGTGCTCTTTTGCTCTTGCACCCAGTGACCCTTGCTCTCGCCAGCAGAGACGAGATGCTGCCTGCACTGACACCCACCTGAGGACCTGGGCAGTGTCTGAGGCCTTTTCTAGCTTTCTTGCATTCCTTTACCTGTGTGCTAGGACATGGGATCCATGAGTGTTGCTAGCAGAACCATGCAAGGGAGGCAGAACAGAAGCGTAGAGAAGAGCTTCACAAAAGAACAGCCCATGCTCCCTGCAGGTACCTCTTATATTCAAAGCTAGGCCTGGTAGCTCAGCAGCTGGTCCTACAGAAGAAGCTGAGCGCTGAAAATGTAGGTCTGTTGGGGCATAGCAAACTTCCAGGAAGCACCAGCCCTGCTCTGTCCATGACAGTGTGCACGCACTGGCCACATAGTTGGGCTTTCCCAAAGCTCACCAGCATGCTCAGAGCCACAGTGGACGTGGTGAGCTGTCCTGACCCCAGGACCAGACTGCAGAAGACTAGGCCATGTGTGCACACCTTCAGAAACAGCCCTGGCAAAACTTACAGGTGGGAAAATGTGGTTCTTTCTTCCGCAGTGAAGGTCCTATCTGTTTAACAGCCATTTGGAAGAAAGCTTAGAGGTCAGCTAACCACAAACTCCCAGGGTGACGTTATTACAAACACAAATGTACATCCAACTGCAAACAGTCTTTCCTCAAAAGCTCAAGGAGGTTGCGCAATCTCCCTCCTTGGAGTTACTCCAAACTGCAGCACACATCTTTGCTGTGAGCAGAATGGCTTCTTTAGACAGAATTCAGAGAAAAAGATCCAGCACATGGTGCCTGGATGACCCCGTTACCAAACAACTCAAGGAGAGAGAATGAGAACATGCTTTATCAGAAAAAGAAAACTTTTTAATCTTCCTCTCCCGTAATCACCTTTATAGGTTGTCTAACATCAAGGAGTACAGTAGCCCTGGGGATGGGATGGGACCCAAAGCCTGAGAGCTAAACACCTGCTCACACTAGGAATACATCTCAGTTCCACTGAGCAGCAGTCAAAGCTATAAACTCAGGATTTGTTGTTCAGATCAGGTTCTGCACTACATGGCTCCTAAATAAAGCATGGAAAAATCACAGCCTTCTGCTGCAGCAATAGCAGAGCAATCCCGTGCCCTGATCATAGAATAGTTAGGGTTGGAAAGGACCTTAAGATCATCAAGTTCCAACCCCCTGCCATGGGCAGGGACACCTTGCTCTAAACCGTATCACCCAAGGCTCTGTCCAACCTGGCCTTGAACACTGCCAGGGATGGAGCATTCACAGCCTCCCTGGGCAACCCATTCCAGTGCCTCACCGCCCTAACAGGAAAGAATTTCCTCCTTATATCCAATCTAAACTTCCCCTGTTTCAGTTTTATCCCATTACCCCTTGTCCTATCACTACAGTTCCTAATGAAGAGTCCATCCCCAGCATCCCTATAGGCCTCCTTCAGATACTGGAAGGCTGCTATGAGGTCTCCACGCAGCCTTCTCTTCTCCAGGCTGAACAGCCCCAACTTTCTCAGCCGATCTTCATATGGGAGGTGCTCCAGTCCCCTGATCATCCTCGTGGCCTCCTCTGGACTTGTTCCAACAGTTCCATGTCCTTTTTATGCTGAGGACATCAGAACTGCACACAGTGCTCCAGGTGAGGTCTCACGACAGCAGAATAAAGGGGCAGGATCACCTCCTTCGACCTGCTGGTCACACTCCTTTTGAGGATACGGTTGGTTTCTGGGCTCCAAGCGCACACTGAAGCCGGCTCATGTTCATTTTCTCATCGACCAGCACCCCCAAGTCCTTCTCCACAGGGCTGCTCTGAATCTCTTCTCTGCCCAGCCTGTAGCTGTGCCTGGGATTGCTCCACCCCAGGTGTAGGACCTTGCACTTGGCATGGTTAAACTTCATGAGGTCGGCATCAGGCCACCTCACAAGCGTGTCAAGGTCCCTCTGGATGGCATTCCTTCCCTCCAGCCTATCAACTGAACCACACAGCTTGGGGTCATGGGCAAACTTGCTGAGCGCGCACTCAATCCCACTGTCCATGTCAGCTACGAAGATGTTAAACAAGACCGGTCCCAACACTGATCCCTGAGGGACACCACTCGTTACTGGTCTCCAGCTGGACATTGAGCCATTGACCACAACTCCTTGTGTGCAGCCATCCAGCCAGTTCTTTATCCACTGAGTGGTCCATTCATCAAATTGATGTCTCTCCAATTCAGAGGCAAGGATGTCGTGTGGGACAGCCTGTCTGGACTTAAAACCTATGAACCTGGCACACTTTTCATCACAGTTTCAAGGCAAGCCATATTGCATCTCCAGTACATTACTGACACAGCAGCTCCCACCACT